CCCCCCTTCACACTCTACTAAAAAGCGTCCAATTTTCACACACGGCACGCACTACTGACCCTCCTCGCCCCGCGAGACACTCCCACAGCATCTTCAGTCCCTCTCGCTGGTGGGGGTACAACCTGCGCGCCAGAGAAGCGCCCGCAATCACCGGCTGAGGGGGGTCCCCGGCAGTCCACTCCAGCACCAACCCTTCCGGACTCAACCCCGACGCTCCACCACCACCACCACCACCACCACCGCTACCGCCGCTACCGCCGCTACCGCCGCCGCCGCCGCCGCTGTCACGACCATGACCGGCTCCAGCAGAGCGGGAGAAAGATCCGCCCCTACCCGGCGACACCCGCCTGGCAAGACTCTTCTCGCTCCCACCGAGCTTGTGGTTCTTCGACTCCCGCTCGTTCGCGCCGGCCGCCACCACCGCCGCTGCACCCGACGATCGCGGAGCGTGGAATCGCCGCGCCCCGCCTACGCCTCTACCGGCACCCCCCAGTCCCGTCCGTTTGATGCCGCCGCCGCCGCCGCTCCCGCCGAGGACCGAAGTCGTCGTGCCGGCCGCCGGTCCTACCGCACCGCTTCTGATGCCGTTGCCGAGGGGGACTGCAGCGGCGGGAACGGAGAGCAGCGACCGCGGCCCGACCTTGCCCAGCATGCTTGTCGCGCCCAGCCTCTTTCGGGGGCCCAGCTTGACTCCGCTAGCTTCCGCTGGACGCACCGGGGTCCTCGTCACCTTGCCGGAGGAGGCGGCGCTGCCACCCCCGGCGGTGCTCGCCGTCCCCGACGCGGCGTCTAGCGTGCTCTGCTGCTGCTTCTGCTGCTGCTGCTGCCCCCCGACATCGGCCATAATCTGGATGCTGATGCCGCCCACCCTTGTTTCGTTCCCGTCTTCCTGCAGAACCACCGAGGCCTCGTCCGGCTTGAGGCGGGTGGAGGACACCTTGACGGACGCGTCCTGTATTGTAGTTTGCGCGCGTTGCGGGTACGTGTGTGTGAGGAAAAAGGGTTAAGGGCATATTGGGCACAAATCGCGGCAGGCACGCGGGGCGATACCATGGGAGTGGGGGGGGTGGGAGGGAGGGGAGGGGGGAGGGGTACGCATGCCATAGTCGTTAGATCGTTGACCTCGTGGCCCAAAAATGACGAGACGATGCCGGGTTTTCGCCCGCCCTGGCTACGCTTGACAAGCATGAACCAGAAGCTGGTCGTCATCCTTGTGTTGGGAGCGGTGAGTGCGTAGGTTTCAACACGGTGTGCGTGCCTGTTGCCTGGAGCACTCGTCGGGCCCTCTACAAAGTTGGGTTTCCACAAGGCGGGCGTTTCACCATTAGGTGCGAAATGCCATACCGCGGCGGGCAAGGTGAGCTGCATCGCAAGAACGGCAAGGGAGCGAAACACGAAGAACCGACGAGAGAGGCGAGAGCAGGCACATGTACGGGAGAGGAAGATCCAGCACTGCTGTGCTTGTCTCTCTCCCGTTGACATATTTCTCTCAGGCAACTAACCAAAGCGCAGCAGATTCCCTGCTGTAGGGTGTGGAGAAGGAGTAGGACCGGACGTGTCTACGGGGACGTGTGCTAACCACCGTACCTTCAAGCATTGCTGGAGAATGTGATATCTACTACACTACCGTAGGTGATGTACACAAACAAATGATGTTCCACAACGGAGTCGTTGAGTCTGCGGACGGACTCCGTACACTACTTGTATTGACTGAATCTCTGTGCTACACATGCATATGTGTATGCATATGTGCAGACTATTTACCCATCTTACGCTGGTGTGCCTCTGTGGTCGACTTCAATGAGAGCAAGAGAAGAGCAGCAGCAATGGCATCGTGTGGGGGAACAACGGCATGACATCGCTACATACTTGCCTCGACATCTGCAGGACACGGAGAGAGTCCACGCTGCTTGTTGTGTTGTTGGCTATTTCAATTCGTTGGCGTGCACGCACCTGGTCCCAGACGCTAAGCACACCTGTGGCCGGGGAGAAGCGTGCTATGCCGTCGGTCCACCGCTTTCTTTTCTTCTGCTGGGCATCCTTCGACCACAAGCAAGTGAATTCCATTCCAATTGCCAAGGCCCTCTTCGCTTGTTCTCGGATAGAGTAATGGAGGCTGGAGCGAGACGGAGGTGGAAATTCAAAATTTGAATTTCCTCTGTTCTCTACGGAAGTACCAGCAGTAGTAGAGCAGGCCTCGTTTGTATCTCCACGATGAATGCAGATACAAAAGACGAGCTCGGCACAGCACGAGCCCAGCGTTTGTGTAGGTATGTGACGCTGCTGTGCTGTACACAACCAAGCAATCGGGCGCGGAGCAAGCAGCGGCCAAAACAAAACAGACAACTTGACCGACAAACATGCACAGGGGCTCCGTGAATCACGTGTATTCGATGGGATAGTTTTCGCGTCTGTCGGCTGGCTCTGTGCTGCTATGCGTCGCTTACCAGTAGCTTCGTCTGCCCCTCGCCTCTCTCACCGGCCCAGCTCAACGCATTGTCATTGCCGGGTCGTCCCTACCTGCTCTCGAATCAAACTGGGTGGGCACCCGGGTTTGATCCGTGTTCAAGAGCAATCGGACTGCAAGGGAATATCAATCACAAGGTTTCGTTGCGGTGGTGCACCGTTCGTGGATTCTGTTGGGGAGGGCACAGCAGCAGCAGCATAGTCCGTGTTGTTGGCGATCCTGCGCACGGAGGCGAGCATCATTGCACGTGCGAAGAGAAAATTTCTCTGAACGCAAGGGGGTTGTTCAACCACCATGTCGGCTGACCCGATGGATGTCGAGGTGAGGACCAGATGTGTTGGCAGCGGCGATGATTTTTGCGAAAATATTCAAATTTTCGCGCTTTCTTTCTCTGACTCTCTCTCTTGGAGCATCCTGCTGGTGACTCCACGCCCCACGCCTCCTTGGAAACAGCCCACTTTACGCCAATCAAACTGCGTCCGTGTGTGTACCTATCCGTACGTTGATCTCGGCCAAACGCATCGTCAACACGCTATTTTGATACTTTTATGTCTGCCCTCGAGGAAGACCTACCCGGGTATTGGTACATGTGTTGTCGGCAGTGTCAACACGGTCTTGCTCTTATGCAACTCATGGGTATAGCGTATGCATGCTATACTACCAACATCGAGTTAGGGTCAAGACAAAAAAAAAAAAAAAATCTGAACCCAGGGATCGTGAACAGCAAGTGTTGGTGTAGCATATCATGGCAAGCAGTCGTAACGCAGCGTTATATGTAAGTATCTAAGGCTTGCCGCCTTGAAGAAAGTAGGCGACATGCATGAAAACACGCGACGGAGGATAGNAAAAAAAAAAAAAAAAAAAAATCTGAACCCAGGGATCGTGAACAGCAAGTGTTGGTGTAGCATATCATGGCAAGCAGTCGTAACGCAGCGTTATATGTAAGTATCTAAGGCTTGCCGCCTTGAAGAAAGTAGGCGACATGCATGAAAACACGCGACGGAGGATAGCAGCAATTTCAGCAAAAGCACATTTGCGGTGAAGATTCTGCTGGCAAGTATTCTTCGTGCCATTTCTTATGCCGCAGCCAGAACGAGGTTTACGCTGTGATACGCATAGCAAACTTGTCCGTCCCACTCGCCGAAAGGGGGCGTTTGGTGTGCACACACCCTGCTTGGTTTGGATCCCCCGACATTCGCATCCCCTTGCGGGCCGGTTGATCCCTGAAGCAAGCGGAAGCCGCACTCGTTTAGGCCGTCGTCTACCAACCTTTTCCTTCGAGCGCCAAATCATGGAGTACGTCTTTTCTCACTCTGTTTTGTCACCGGGACTCCTTCAACAATTCAACAACAACAACAACAACAACAACAACTGGGACCCTCGTGCTTCGCGACAACCAAGCAGGTGACGGCAACAAGCAAAGGCAAAGGTAAGGGGAAGATGGCGGACCCGGGGGCGCCGGGCCCGACGACGAGCGCGGCCGCCGTGGCACGCCTGGCGCACCGCGAGACCGCGAGGCAGACGCTGCCCTGGGTGGAGAAGTACCGGCCCTCGTCGCTGGAGGAGCTCGTGGCCCACGAGGACATCGTCGGCATCCGTGAGTTCCGTGGCTGTTGTCGACCCCTCTGCTCTGCTGCAGTAAGGCGTCCAGACAGGCACACCCGCGCGCAAACCGGCTATGTGTCAGCCTCTGCTACTGCTGCTGCTACTGGGGGGTATTGTTTGCGGGGGCGGGCTGGTGTCATGCCCAGGAGCCTTGTGCCCCGGAAGATTTGGTCACGAGCATGCAAAAGGGCATCTTAGCCTTCGTCGAGGGTATTGGAAATATGGGACGTAATGACAGGCCAGGATACCATGAGGAGAAATCATCCGGGAGGATAAGGAAATGTTTCGGACCGATAGTATGAGAACGGCTCAAGTACTTCAATCCATATGTGTACACGCATAAGGCGCTTTGGCGTCGTGTATAGCGCTGCAACTCAAGATCACGCACCCGTGGCCCGAACGAACATCGTTTTGATCGTAATCCGTTGACCTTCATTCATGCCCTACGTGAATTTTGCGAGCAATATTCTTCCTCAACCCAGAACCTCACGGCCAGGAGCACCAAGGCAGGGCGATTTTTTTTTTGAGAAGAGCCACCACCCTACATGTACACTCCACCAGCCTGGTCCTCCCCTTGCCCCGCCCCTGCTCGTACTATCGTTTGCTTTCGCGTGTGGGCGTACCGCGGGGAGCAGTCCAGAAGCTGATCGCCAGCAACAAGCTGCCGCACCTGCTGTTCTACGGTCCACCGGGGACCGGGAAGACCTCGACCATCTTGGCGTGCGCCAAGAAGCTCTACGGCGCAGACTTCAAGATGATGGTCCTGGAGGTGGGCGTGCGTGCTGCCCTTGTTGTCGGTACCTTTTGTCATTGCAGTACCGCAGTGGTCCCGATATATCGCGGTGTAGTGACAGACGAAAACCACCCGCGTTATATCGGGACCCGCGCTATCGGGGCAAGGTACATGATAATTTGTACAGTAGGTAGGAGCGGTTGTGCCAAGGGATTGTTACCCCGAGTATCCGGAACCGCGCTCTCGCGGATCGGCGATATATAGGTTCAGTGGAATCTTGTTTGACGGGCGCAACAGCCCATAACCAACCCGCGATGCATCCATGGTGGTTGCACCTGCAGTATTCTTGGACACGAGCCCCCGGACGATTTGCCATCGGTAATCGATCAGTCCTGTGGGAACAATGCTCCGTCCTCTCGAGAGCGCGTGCGTGGTCAATGCTCTAACCGCTAAGGCATGCAAGATATGAGTGCCCCCCCCCCCCCCCCCCCCCCCCCCCCCCCCCCCCCCCCCCCCCCCCCCCCCCCCCCCCCCC